AATTATATCAAACACTTTGAAAAAGGATTTGAAAAAAGAGTTGACAGAAAATGAAAATTTATCAGTGTTAAAAGCATTTAAGGCCACACCAATTTAATTTCTTGGTTAACGGATTTCTCTAGAAAAATAATGGAGCGGGCGGGCGAAAAAAAATAAAAATAAAAACAGGCCTTGGCATCCTATTATGGCCCAAAATGGTACGATAGGAGCCATGAAGTCAACACACCAGGCTGGGTCAAAATTTAAACAATGAATTTTGAACTTTTAATAATACCACTGCATTAAAAGATGGAATAACTGTAACAACTAGGATGAAAAGGACTGTTTTCAACTGTTCAGGGCAAAATATGAGCATTTTGCAGTTGATTCTGAATTTTTATTTTTATTTGCAAATCAGAAAAAAATGAAGCGGCGAATCCGTTAACCAAGAAAATAAATTGGTGTGGCCTAATGGCAAGTTTCTTTTTCCTGAGCTTTTTCCACAAAAACAATGCAAAATGCTACTTTTAATTAACATCTCTAACTTCACAAGCAAATTCTTCCTCAATAAAGGCAGCATGAAAGAAGATAGAAAAAGATAGACAGGACAGCAAACAAGCACACCACACACAAATACAAGGTACACTGTACACATCCAGCAGTTACCTTTATCCACAACAAGTGACAGTCTAGAATCAGTCCTTCTTGATTCAGGAGTATCACAGATTTAAGTCACGATCTCCAAGAAAGTTTTAAAACCTGATTCAAGTCAAGACATGATTTAAGACATGATTTAAAGATATCAAGTTATGATCATAGGTCATTATGAGAGAAAAGAAACTGCTGGTTATGTAGTGTATGAATAATAAGGAGTTGTAAAACTAGTAAATATTACCTTTAAGTACATCATTATTCTGACAACCATGCATTGTGATGTTTCAGTTACAAGTTTTGGGCAAGGTTTGGCTATGAACAGGTCCCAACAACAAATGTCTAGTATGTTTGGCACATACATGCATGCTTTAAACGTTACTGTTAACTTTCCACAAAGTTTACTCCCTCCTTTGCTGTGTGGGACCAAGTGGCAAGAAAAATAAAAAAATTGTAATTTTAAAGTATCTTACTTGGGAAATTTTTTTCCTCATGCAACTGGATTTTCTGCATTTTTTGTTTACAAACTTTAAGGTTGTAAAGTTACTTTAACTTACAATATTGTGTTTTGTAAGAAATCTTCGGTTTCTGCCTTTAACATGTTTAGTCTTGGCAGTTCAGTAATATAATCAATTAAAGTTTCTTAAGAAATTTTCAGCTTTTAGGATGTCTTGGCAGATGTCTTGGAGGTTTCTTGATGTCTGTTCATAGCCTTGCCACAGTCAGACGCACAGACGGACAGACGCACAGACGAACGGACGGACGGACGGACCCGGCCCTCCCCACCGCGCATGCACTGTGTCGTCAATCTAGTGCAAACACACACACGGAAGAACACACAAACGGACAGACAGTCAGATGGTACGTCACGGGATGAAATGCAATGATCCCTCACAAACAGAAAAAAAACCTACCCTGTCCCCCCTATATTGCAGAATGCTTAAGACCCAAAGCAGACTCTGTGCACAGAATTGTGGAGTCAACCATGAAGTAAGTGGGGGTGTCATGAGACCATTTCCTTATTTTCTATCCACAAGTAGTCTGAAAACCCGTGTTTCCCTTTTCCAGCGTGGACCAGTCCAGAATTCTGTGAACTGACATCTGATTTTGGGCCCTTGAATTTTGCAGTAGGTGTGGACAGGACAGTTTTATTCTGTTTTTGAGGGTTGGTTAAAACGTCATGACACAGCAGACAAAACACACACAAGCATAAAACCCATGTACCTTGGAATGCACAATACTACAACACCTTTATATATATCTGAAATTTAAAAAAATCCTAAGTCAGAAAAGTTTTTTTGCCCAGAGACACCGAAAAATTAGGTTGTGAACCCGAGTGTGATCTACTGGTAAAATAAACAATTTATGAAATGAAAATAAAAAGGTTCTACAATTTAGGCACAAGGCTTCATTATTATTTATAATTAGGTTATACTTTAATCTATTTTATTGAAATAATCCCTGAATTCTACTTTACGGTTCTCCAAAGGGTTTTAAACTTGTGAAACTAAGAGTAAACTTTCCCAAGGTACAGGGACAACCATGCCAGAGAAAGACACAAAAATGGTGAAAATTTGTTAGTGACAACCACAGCATTCAACAGCATGTACAGTTAAACACCTCACACAACATTCAACACTACACTGGAAAAACAGGACTGAGGAAGACTGTGTGTTAGGTAATGTATGAGTGTGCATCGCCCTAAAAAACTCTCTGTACAGGAAAAAATCTAAACTATCAAAAAAACGTAACTCTTCTATATTTTAGCTTTGTTCCAACACATCCGACATTTAGGGCAACTCAAAGTCACTGACTGGTTATTTGTTGGATGGTTTGTGACTTTTGACTTATCCTGTTCACAAACTTACAACGAAACTTAACACAAACCGACAAAGTACCATAACTGTCTTTGGCAGAGGGACAACACGTGTCCCTGTATTATATTCTAACTTTTCTTCCTACCATCATATTCTGTATCATCCCATTTTACTTTGCACTGCTCACAATGTCATATCACTGGTCCCTGGTGCTGAACTGCCTTGCTGAGTACTTTCTTCTGCTTCGTATCTTTGTTTCTTGAGAAGTTCAAAACATGTCCTTTCTTTCTATATCACTTTCTTATAAGTCTAGATATTCTGCAAGGTTGCATTATACTTTATAGTAAGTCAAGGAAAGGACTATTTATATGTATATATAATAGTCTAGTAATGTCCTTGGTAAATTAAGATGGAAAAAAGGACAATGGACACAATGTTCTGCTGTCAATTCTGTTCTGTATTATTTTTGGTACACTATGAGAATGGGAAAATATGTGATATCAAGTACGAAGCAGACTTAAAGCTTGAAAAAGTCTTTGACCCAAACTAAAATTTATAATAATATCATGTTAAGAGATTCAAGCCAACTGCAGTTCATAAAACAAATCACAAAACAAACCAAACATTGCTCACCTTTTAGACTTTGACACAAACTAATACATGACAATAAGATTTATGTATGTTAAGAGATTCAAGCCAACTGCAGTTCATAAAACAAATCAAAAACAAAACAAACCAAACGTTGCTCACCTTTTAGACTGACGTGTCCGCATCGCGACACTGACCCCGCCCGGTTCACCGCGACGCACATGTAGATCCCGTAGTCCTCCTCTCCCACATGCTTAAACATCACGCTGTGCGTGTCCCCGATCTGCACGATCCGGATGTGGTCCGTAGGGACAACCTGGACGTCATCTTTGTACCATGTTACCTGGAAAACACAACAGGTGAGATGAGTGATGTCTGACAGGTATCAAAAGGTAAGCAGGTGAGAGACATTACTGGTTACGTACAAGAGAATCCCCACAAACATAATGTCCTACGTAGCAGTAACAGTAGATGACTGCATTGTAGATACATTTCCCTGTAACTACTTATATGTATAGATATGTATTAAATATTGTACTTTTTGAAATGCATCTATAGCAGTGACACCTGTGCTGCAGCGCAATGTGAACCAGTCAGAATTGCCCTGAGGAAGGTGACAGACGGTCACCGAAATGTTGGCTGAATAAAAGACATGGTTGTGTAAAAAGAGTCTCCTTACTCAGATGAATGTACATTAGGGCAAACATGGCTGTAGTAGATGAAGACAAATAGTTAAAAAGGAAATAAAACATGAGATAACTACTACATACTGTAGGAGCCGGCCTGCCCTGCACACGACACGTCAGCCTGGCCTCCGCTCCCTCATAGTATATTCTCTCCTCAAAGTTCTGCACAAACACCGGGGGGATGTCTGAAAAGAAATTTAAAAAAAAAGTCAAACAAGAAGCCATAGGCGACAATTCTCCGTGAAGTATTATATATTGCAACAAAAAGAAGTAACCATTGGCGACAATTCTCTGTGAAGTGTGATAAATCGAACAAAGAAAAATTGTTTAAACGCGCGTCGGCTCAGTCATCTTAAGACGCAACAACCAATCAGAGATGCGAGATGCCTACACGTGACGCGGGAAGGGCGCGCGATGCCCGAAATATTTTTGCGTCAATATTCAGCGCCGTGATTCAAGAGATTAATACCCGGAAACAATTTTTTTCTTGTTTTGAACGCATTAACATGCATTTACGCTAATCTAGTATGATTCAGGGTTACTTTTTTTTTAACCTGCCATGGCCAGATTATCTAAAGATGTGTGTATTGTGTGTACAATCTATAGAAAGAGAAATGTACATCAGGTCCGATCATCAGATTTTCACGTTTCGGTTTTTTGGACTCGGTTCATGAACGTATTTTGGTTTGGCTCCTGGAATGTGCAAAAAAATGACTCTCGGGACTGTCTACAGAAAACACTCGCACATTCGCGGTGTATCAGGACAGCGCGACTGGTCGTCATTAGCGCAGTAACAGTTGCATAAACGGACGAAACCATTTCAAAGAAATGGGGATGTTTCGAAAATAAGCATTTACTCCAATATCAAAACAGCTACGGTAAAAATAAAAAGACGTGCATCATCCCGGACATAATGCAACACCACATGCGAAATTACACAGAAATGCGACGTACGGAAGAATGCGTTTTGGCTGCGAACATCTTCCAAAAAACTTGGCATCTCTTAACCATGGGCAAAAACATCTGGAACCACTTATAAAAACCACCCCGTATCTGCATGAACTTTTTTGAACCCCACTGCTATTCCAAACAACGCGTTTTTCTGGACCATTCCAATTCGCCTCGTAATTGTAGGGGTGCGTCTGCGATATTACATTGACCGCGAAAGCAGCAACGGCAAAAATACACATTCGTGCATCAACACGGGCATGCCCGCAGACGGCGTATAAAATTGCGTGCCGATTACACAAAGAGAACCCAGTGTTTTGACTGCGAACATGAAAAATCAGCCGATTACAACACTCCGTCCGGAGGTCCTGACCTCCTTCACGGAGTAATAACAGTAATTTTACATGTACCAAAAAAGTCTGAAGCAAAATCATATCTTAATGGGTTAGCGACAGCTTGGCACAAGTATGTGCCCTGTACCTGAAGTTTAAGTAAAGACTGTGTAAGAAATGCGAGGGATGTCTGAAAAAAGGCAAAAATTGTCAAATTACAGTGACTTACAAAAAGTTCTGAAGCAAAATCATATACTAACAGGTTAGCTACAGCTTGGCACAAGTATGTGCACTGTACCTAAAGGTTATGAACACTGTAAAAACTGTGTAAGAAATGCATGGGTTTTTCTGTTACCTGGTTTCTTGGGGGCCATCTTGCTCTCATCAGTAAGGTAACCATCTGTTGCTGGCAGTGCTGTAGCAAAAACAAAATGAGAAAATCATTCTTTACGTCTCTGTACTCAAGTATACACAATCTCTGGGGCAATTTCTAACTGGAAGTTCTACTGATTACATGACTGTGCACATCGAAATTCATCTGAAAATTTAAAGCATACCACATCAAATCTTTTTGCCTCCAGGTTGCCATAAACAATGTGTGGCGTAATAGCGTGTTTGACAGTGAACCCATAGGTCCTGGGTTCGAATCCACCATCCTGCCCTGATATTGCCTACTAGTAGACACTTTAATTGTACAGAATCCACCACACCTTTCGAAAAAGAGCAGGGGCATGCCCCAGTGTGCAATGGTGATCTGGTGATTCACTATGGACTCCAGGAAGAATAGTGTGAAATTTACACTGATAGAGATCCTAACAAAACAAACAAACAAACTTACGCTCCACCTCCAGACTCATGGCAGTCTCAGCCTTCCCTGCAGGGTTGATCGCCACACACTTGTACTCTCCACGGTCAGAGTAACGAGCCTCGTTAATCACTAACGAACAAACAAACAAACAAACAAACTTACGCTCCACCTCCAAAGTCATGGCAGTCTCAGCCTTCCCTGCAGGGTTGATGGCCACACACTTGTACTCTCCACAGTCCGCGTAACGAGCCTCGTTAATCACTAACGAACAAACAAACAAACAAACAAACTTACGCTCCACCTCCAGAGTCATGGCAGTCTCAGCCTTCCCTGCAGGGTTGATGGCCACACACTTGTACTCTCCACGGTCAGAGTAACGAGCCTCGTTAATCACTAACGAACACTTGTCTCCTTCAAACAGCAGCATCTTGTTGTGAGACTCCTTCAGAGGCTTGTCCTTAAAGTACCAGATTATCTGGAAGAGAAAGGAAAGAATGATTATTTCAGCAGCATCTTCAAAATACAAAACAATCTACAATGTTATTACAAAGTTGATGCTTTCTTCAAATCCATGACCTTTGAATACCAAACTGTCCACCAGAAAATAGAAAGGCAGATGCTTCCTTCAAATGCTTCTCAGTAAAATACTAAAAAATCTAAAACAGCAAGACTATGCCACAAGTTAAACAGCAACCCATTCCGTCCTAACCTAACTAAAGACCCAAATATCAGGTTCAGAAGTTCTGACGATGATGCACTCCATCCTGATCTTACTGATGATCCAAACAAAACAAAACAAACAAACAAACAAACAAACAAACAAACAAACAAACAAACAAACAGACCTCTGGTTCAGGAGTTCTGATGATGACACAGTCCATCCTAGCCTAACTGAAGACCCAAATAAAACAAACAAACAAAGAAACAAACAAACAAACAAACCTCTGGTTCAGGAGTTCCGATGATGACACAGTTCATCCTAGCCTAACTGAAGACCCAAATAAAACAAACAAACAAAGAAACAAACAAACAAACAAACCTCTGGTTCAGGAGTTCCGATGATGACACAGTTCATCCTAGCCTAACTGAAGACCCAAATAAAACAAACAAACAAAGAAACAAACAAACAAACAAACCTCTGGTTCAGGAGTTCCGATGATGACACAGTTCATCCTAGCCTAACTGAAGACCCAAATAAAACAAACAAACAAAGAAACAAACAAACAAACAAACCTCTGGTTCAGGAGTTCCGATGATGACACAGTTCATCCTAGCCTAACTGAAGACCCAAATAAAACAAACAAACAAAGAAACAAACAAACAAACAAACCTCTGGTTCAGGAGTTCCGATGATGACACAGTTCATCCTAGCCTAACTGAAGACCCAAATAAAACAAACAAACAAAGAAACAAACAAACAAACAAACCTCTGGTTCAGGAGTTCCGATGATGACACAGTTCATCCTAGCCTAACTGAAGACCCAAATAAAACAAACAAACAAAGAAACAAACAAACAAACAAACCTCTGGTTCAGGAGTTCCGATGATGACACAGTTCATCCTAGCCTAACTGAAGACCCAAATAAAACAAACAAACAAAGAAACAAACCTCTGGTTCAGGAGTTCTGATGATGACACAGTTCATCCTAGCCTAACTGAAGACCCAAATAAAACAAACAAACAAACAGACCTCTGGTTCAGGAGTTCCGATGATGACACAGTCCATCCTGATTTTGCTGCCCTCCAGCACATCTCTGTCCTTCAGTGTCTCGTACACGGTCGGAGCAACATACTCGCTATCAGACATCACTTCTGTGTCCCTGCAAGGGCAGAGAAGTTAGATTTTAGTAGATAGACTTTTTTATGTCTGGATCAAGAGTGAAGACAACATTAGATGACTGTTATGCTTACAATATTTGTTCACTGTTCCAGACTGAGTGTAGATATAGATCCTATTGCATAATTTACACAAGGCAAACATACATTATCTAGTGGTTAATGACCCTTCCTCTGGACCAAGAGGTTGGAAGTTCGAATCCCACCTGTGGTTCTGTTATTGTCCATCTGACATATGGTACTGGAAATGGTAGCAGCGCTTAGGACTATGGTTCACTGTTCATTGTATGTGCAGCTTATATACATGTATTACAATGATACCCATTTCAGCACCAAGGACAGCACACATGTCTTTCTTCTTTGCCATGTTTTTTAGCGCTCTTTCCCTGTTTATAAAGTGGCTTGTTCTCATGTTTTCAATACCCATTTGTGCACCAAGGACAGTGTTAATTCCATACCCCAGACACAGTTCTTTATACACGTGGACTATCCAGAACCGTTCTGGATAAAGCACAGTTCTGGATACGACACATCCCAGCCCTACTCACGTGGTCTCAGCGTATCTCTCAACTGTGACCTTGCAGCTCCCATGAGCCTCTCCGTGTGCGTTCTTCGCCAGGACGGAGTACATCCCAGAATCCTCTGGGAAGGCTTCCTTGATGACCAGTGAGAAAGTGTCGACACCTTGGAGGACAATCCTTTAAGGAGAATAAGGATAACGTCAGTACCTCTTTAAGTTAATAGTAAGACATAGGTAGAACATAATGAAAAATTTGCACACAAAGTATAGCATATAATTGCTAACATACTATGAGACTAAACTTATGTTAGAAAGACAAGTTCAATATGAAATGAGAATGTGCTTTATAATAATATAAATCAAACAACTGTGAATGAATTCTGTGAAGTTTCAGATGCTTCAGATAGCTAGCACCCACTATTTTTCATCTGATTCAGTGACTAAGAATGAACAACTTTAATCAATGACTGACACACGCTCAGCCACAAGTTGGATACAAATTGAATAGCTCTGGATGCAACACGGTTCTGGATTAAGCATGGTTCTGGATAAAGTACAGTTTTGGATGCAACACACAACTGACTCTGCTGGACTCCTTGACGGGCTTATCATAAGGATCAGGCACAGTTCTGGATAGTCTCTGCGTATCCAAGAACATAGATTTGCTACAGGCACGGTTCTAGATATGCCCGGATTTTTTAGAACTGTGCTTGAACATAGTTTTAGATTCAGCATGGTTCTGGATACAACACTCACCTGACTCCACTGGACTCCTTGACCGGCTGTCCGTCGCAGAACCAGTACACGTCCGGCTGCGGGTAGGCCGTTACCTTGACGACCAGCGTGATCTCCTCCCCCTCCATCACCTGGATGTCCTGCAGGTTCATGTTCAAGATCGGAGGCTGGGGTGGGGGCTCTGTATCCAAGGCTATGGGGGAAAGACAAGTTCAAGTTGATGATGATGATGAATGGTTGGCAATGTGGCGTTCTGGTTAAGGTATAGGTTCAAATCTGTCAGTCCCCAATGGAAATTGTTATTGGGAAAGGCACTTTACACCTATTTCTTAGGTGAAAATGAATACCTAGCTTCAGTCAGGGACATCTTCTGGGATAGGATGTGAAGCCGGAGATCCCATGCTTGAAGACAGTTTAAGCACCTCAAGAACCCACCACACTTTTCAAAAAGAGCAGGGGTGTGAATGGATCTCTTGAAAAGATCATAGTCACTGTCATCTGTTTTGTCAGTACTCCCGCAGATGTGGTAAATTTCAATAAATAGTACAACAACCACCTTTAACAGTGAGTTTGGCGCTGCAGATGGCCTGCCCTCCAGGGTTGCTGGCCTTACACATGTACCGAGCCTCATCTTCTACAAATACCTCAGCTGAAAACACAGTCAGACACAAATATCAGTATGTGGTATATGTGTGTGTGTGTGTGTGTGTGTGTGTGTGTGTGTGTAGTAAAGAAAAAAATGATACTTCTTACAAAAATTTGATTTGGATGAACACTTTTGGTCAAGCTACATTTCTGCTAGGTTTAAGAATGATTTTAGACTTGTTTTCTTATTCTGCATTATCATGTATTGCCTCCTATAGCTAGTGCATATTGTACTGTTTAACTTATTCCCTTTTAGGGCAGGATTTGTATTTAGCCTGTGCTGACCCAAGTAGTAATGACATGTATCATTGACAATACAAAATTCATAAATACATGTACAAACAGCATAAAGAAGCAACATGGAGACACAATGATCTGTTACTGTTATGTGGGAACACAATGCTTGAGTGGACAGCCTCACCAATGGTAAGAGAAGCCACATTGTTGATGAAGGCAGTTTCGTAGATGGAGGATGAAGCGATGTTGTCGTTGTCTTTGTACCAGGTGATGGCTGGGGTGGGATCACCCTCCACACGACACTCAAACCTGAACGGGCTCCCTGGAACAGCGGATGGAATGAAGCACAGATGAACAAAATGTGGTCTTTGTTAGAAACAGTGGATACTGACAGTACACGTACAGATACAGTGTTAGATACATAGAAACAGTGTAAACTATTACAGTGGGTCTGTCTGTGGTCAAATCTGCAGTACATCGTACAGAAAATCAACAACAAGACTTTCTGGAATGAAACACGGATGAATGAAATGCATGAGAGATGGATGAATACAGTACAAAATGGAAGGGAATTCAAAATATGGCTAATCTGTAACTGTTACAGAGTGTCTTTGGTGAAATCTGCAGTACACAGCAGAGAAAAACGTCAACAAGAGCTCCCGGGAACAGTGGATAGAATAAATGACACACAGATGAAGGAAATTTGGTCTTTGTGTCAGTAAGGATGGATAGATGGAAGGAGACATGGAGAAACTTGAAGACTCGAGTTTGTTTTCTTACCTTCGTCCACTACAGCAGACGTGAGCTTCTGCGTAAAGGAAGGAGGAACAATTTTCTTCTTGGGGGGAGGGGGGGACAGGAGAGCAAACTGGGTCTGCAAGGTACATTGGCACAAAACAAACAATCTGGTTATTATAATTAAGATTGAACATGGACTTGCAATAGTGTAATTTCTTGAAAATGCAACTTGACGGTACTAACTGAAAAAGGGATCTTGACAAAGACTTGGACACGAAGTTTACAATAAAGGCCAAAGAAAACAAAGGAAGATTTTTCTGTCGTAATCTCTTTTGATATGATTGTTGTATCCAGAACTGTACTTTCCCCTAGAACTGTGCTTTGGCCATGTGTATCCAGAACTGTGCCTGGGGCAAATCTACATTCTTGGATACATGGAGACTATCCAGAACCGTGCCTGATCCTAATCCTAACCCATTCAGGCATAGAACTAGATAAGCACAGTTCTGGATACAATAGAGACTATCCAGAACCGTGCCTGATCCTAACCCTAACCCATTCAGGCACAGAACTAGATAAGCACAGTTCTGGATACAATAGAGACTATCTAGAACCGTGCCTGATCCTAACCCTAACCCATTCAGGCACAGAACTAGATAGGCACAGTTCTGGATACAATAGAGACTATCCAGAACCGTGCCTGATCCTAACCCTAACCCGTTTGATACAATAGTCATCATGATTGTGCTATGGTAGATGGTAGAAAGTTCAGTACCAAGGACAGGGGCATGTACTGTACAGTGCATGGCAGAAAGCCTGTATTACTTGTTTAAGATTTCCAGAAGGATTTTCATGCACTTACCGGAGTCTCCACTTTCTTGATGACTTCTATCTGCGGCTTCATGTCGAGGTCGTGTTTGGAGGGGAGGGTCTGTATCTTGGTCTTGATCTCGGTGCGAACGTAGGTGATGGTCTCTCGCACCTCGTGGAACTGAACCACAACGTGACGTGTCGCCTTCTCTCCCTCATCCTTACCTGCAGACAGAGACATCATTATTATAAACTCTGATCCTTTCTTGTACGTATAAGTGTACAACAGTTTTCAACATAACAGCCAGATATGTTACACATTGGATAACTCAGATCAATCACTGAAGAGCTAATATTCCACTGGTTGTTACAGAGAAGACAGATGCTATGTGCAGTATTTACAGGTTCATTACTTAAAGCTATCTAGTGAGGATGCCCCTACTGTGCCCCTACTGTTTGTTGACAATGAAAAATTGTAACTCTAGATGCATGGAAAAGTATGATACTATTCAGTACATGTATATGGTATGTATCTAGTATTTGGTGAAAAGTACTGTCCTTGGTGCTGAAATGGGCATCAAGACGTAGCAGACACTTAAAGAACTCACCATGAACCCTGACAGACAGTTCTGAGACGTATCAAACACTTAAAGAACTCACCGTGGACCCTGACAAAGAGTTCTGAGACGTATCAAACACTTAAAGAACTCACCATGAACCCTGACAAAGAGTTCTGAGACATATCAAACACTTAAAGAACTCACCATGAACCCTGACGGAGAGTTCTGAGACGTATCAAACACTTAAAGAACTCACCGTGGACCCTGACAGAGAGTTCTGAGACATATCAAACACTTAAAGAACTCAGAATGAACCCTGACGGAGAGTTCTGAGACGTATCAAACACTTAAAGAACTCACCATGAACCCTGACGGAGAGTTCTGAGACATATCAAACACTTAAAGAACTCACCATGAACCCTGACAGAGAGTTCTGAGACGTAGCGGCATCTCCCTTCCTGCATCTCCGCCTCCTTAGCCTTCTGCTCGACTGGGGGTAAGAGCGCCTTGGCTTCTTCTTTTGTCTTCACAGCCTTAGCCTGCTGCTCAAGCTCAAATAACATCTTAGTCGTCTCCACAAGCCATGCCTCGATCTGAGGGAGGGAAGGAAAGAAGGAGGAATGAACGAGTGAATGAATGAGAGCGCCTTGATTTCTTCCTTCGTCTTCACAGCTTTAGCCTGCTGCTCAAGCTCAAATAACATCTTAGTCGTCTCCACAAGCCATGCCTCGATCTGAGGGAGGGAAGGAAAGAAGGAGGAATGAACGAGTGAATGAATGAGAGCGCCTTGATTTCTTCCTTCGTCTTCACAGCTTAAGCCTGCTGCTCAAGCTCAAATAACATCTTAGTCGTCTCCACAAGCCACGCCTCGATCTGGGAAGGAGGGAAGGAAAGAAGGAGGAATGAACGAGTGAAGGAATGCTGCTCCAGCTCAAATAACATCTTAGTCGTCTCCACAAGCCACGCTTCGATCTGAAGGAGGGAAGAAAAGAAGGAGGAATGAATGAGTGAAGAAACACTGCTCCAACTTAAAATGGCATCCAACTTGTTTCTAAGATCACCAAAGAGTGGAAAGGAAAGATGGAGGAATGAATGGATGAATGAAATATATAAAGTTAGTGGTCCACGACCCAAGTTTCAATCTGGATGTATGTATATTGTATATTGTATGTAGTGCAAGGTACTGTCCTTGGTGCTGAAATGGGTATCAAAGGAAAGTTAGTGGACTCCACGACCCAAGTTTCAACCCGTAGTAGAAGGAAGGATGGAGAGAGAAGAATTATTAAGTAAATGAATGAGTGCATAGGAAAATACAGGCTCATAAAACAAAAAAAAATGTTGTCATCGGTCACACAAACAAACAAACAAATAAACAAACTGACCTCCTGCATGTTGGTAAACAGCTGATGCGCCAGCGGAAGTCGGGTTCCGAAAGCGTCGAACTCCTGCATGAACCGCTGCCATTGGTCTCGGAGCTCTTTCCGCTTACTCAGCAGAGGCGCCAGGTTGTCCCATCCCTCCTTCAGGGCTTCATCCACCTGTCCACTCAGTCCCTCAAAACGGTACCTGAAGGTCTGAGACATTAACAAAGAAAGTCAAGAAAACTTGAGATTTAAGATACCTGTGAAGAAAAAGTCATACAATCAACTGCTCAAAACAGTTCCTGAAAACCTGTCAAGAAAACTCATATTCCTGCCCAAAATGATTCATGAAAAACTACATAATATATAATAACATACATGCCTACAAAAATTATGTACATACCAAAATGGTGCCTAAAAACTATCTAAAAAGGTCTAAAAAATGACAGAGTATACTACATACCTTCACATAAAAGATACTTGAATGCCTAAGAGATAATACAAGTGTAAAGAAAAGTCAGAGTTTGCTGACAACGGGTGGGGAACTGTACCGTGACTTGGCTTGTGAAGTCCTCAAACTTCTGCATGATGATACTGATGGTGTGGGATGTCTTGGCTTCCTTCAGCTGGCTCTGGAACTCCTGTAGTCCATCTACCAGTTCAGACAACTGCTCTCGCAGCTGGAGAGAGAGAGGAGTGTGAAAACATGAGAAAAAGCCACACATGGAAAGAGTCTAAAAATGGCCAAATAGCATGAAATTTGCACTGTCCTTGGTGCTGAAATGTGTATCAAAACCATGAGAACACTGTATACAAAAGGAAAGAGTGTAAAAACATGGCAAAATAGCAGAGTTTGTACTGTCCTTGGTACTGAAATGGGTACCAGAACACGAGAACACCTTATAAACAAGGAAAGAGTGCAAAAACATGGCAAGATAGCAAAGAATTTGCCCTCTCCTTGGTGCTGAAATGGGTACCAAAACACGAGAACACTGAATACACAAGGAAAGAGTGTAAGAACATGGCCAAATAGAATGAAATTTGTACTGTCCTTGGTACTGAAATGGGTACAAAAACACGAGAACACTGAATACACAAGGAAAGAGTGTAAAAAATGACAAAATAGTATAGAATTTCTACTGTTCTTGGTGCTGTAATGGGTATCAAAAACATGAGAAAAAGCCGCTATATCAAGACGAAAAAACATGGAAAAATGGAAAAAGCATGAAAGTTGCCCTCTCCTTGGTGCTGAAATGAGTATCAAAGTAATTTGAGCTGCATGTACAATGAACAGTAGACCATAGTCCTAAGAACGGCGACCCTTTCAGTAGCATGCATGTCAGGTGAGCGACAGCAGCCGAATTTGAACTCCNTGATGACTTCTATCTGCGGCTTCATTGGTCGAGGTCGTGTTTGGAGGGGAGGGTCTGTATCTTGGTCTTGATCTCGGTGCGAACGTAGGTGATGGTCTCTCGCACCTCGTGGAACTGAACCACAACGTGACGTGTCGCCTTCTCTCCCTCATCCTTACCTGCAGACAGAGACATCATTATTATAAACTCTGATCCTTTCTTGTACGTATAAGTGTACAACAGTTTTCAACATAACAGCCAGATATGTTACACATTGGATAACTCAGATCAATCACTGAAGAGCTAATATTCCACTGGTTGTTACAGAGAAGACAGATGCTATGTGCAGTATTTACAGGTTCATTACTTAAAGCTATCTAGTGAGGATGCCCCTACTGTGCCCCTACTGTTTGTTGACAACGAAAAATTGTACCTATAGATGCATGGAAAAGTATGATACTATTCAGTACATGTATATGGTATATATCTAGTATTTGGTGCAAAGTACTGTCCTTGGTGCTGAAATGGGCATCAAGACGTAGCGGACACTTAAAGAACTCACCATGAACCCTGACAGAGAGTTCTGAGACGTATCAAACACTTAAAGAACTCACCATGAACCCTGACAGAGAGTTCTGAGACGTATCAAACACTTAAAGAACTCACCATGAACCCTGACAGAGAGTTCTGAGACGTAGCGGCATCTCCCTTCCTGCATCTCCGCCTCCTTAGCTTTCTGCTCCACCGGGGGTAAGAGCGCCTTGGCTTCTTCCTTTGTCTTCACTGCCTTAGCCTGCTGCTCAAGCTCAAATAACATCTTAGTCGTCTCCACAAGCCACGCTTCGATCTGCAGGAAGGAAGGAAAGAAGGAGGAATGAATGAACAAGAAAGGTAACAGTTACAAAGCAAATGCATAATGTTTTCCTTCACAAGGTTTAGTCCAACAAACTACTTCTCTGTTTATTCTGAGCATTTTATTCTCAAACACATCTCATACATTTGGTGACCAGCCCCTCCAACTCTGTCCTGCCACTTGCTACATAACGTAATCCAACACCACTGGCTCATATGACAACAACAAAAACTGCTGTCATCAATTGCACAAACAAGCAAACAAACAAACAAACCCACAAACTGACCTCCTGCATGTTGGTGAACAGCTGATGTGCCAGTGGAAGTCGAGTTCCGAATGCGTCGAACTCCTGCATGAACCGCTGCCATTGGTCTCGGAGCTCTTTCCGCTTACTCAGCAGAGGTGCCAGGTTGTCCCATCCCTCCTTCAGGGCTTCGTCCACCTGTCCACTCAGACCCTCAAAACGGTACCTGAAGGTCTGAGACATTAACAAAGGAAGTCAAGAAAACTTTAATGCCTGTGAGTGTCCATAATGTCAAGAAAAACTGAGATATAAGGAGTGGAAAGGGACTTTCTTCTATAATATAGGCATCTATAAAAACTATATACATGTACTTGCCCAACACATAGCATAACATGTGTGCCTGAAAAAAAACATACATCTTCCCAAAACAATTCCTGGAAGTCTAGGGCATTACATAACTCTCAAGGAAAATTATATAACTTCCCAAAATGGTACTTCAAGGCTTCAGACAATGAGAAAAATTTTAATGACATCTGCCTTAAACTTGACTCCATTTCACTCAACCTACATTGTACGTGAGAGCTTCTTCCACCTGCCCTAAAAATGGCATCAGACCACCTGTAAACTTCTTTGTCTCCTTGTCCTTTCAGTTTTAAGCAAGAATAACACCCCAATGAATTCAAGACTGTCTTCATGAATCCAAGGCTACAACTGTTTGCTGACAACTTAAGTAAAACCTACCGTGACTTGGCTTGTGAAGTCCTCAAACTTCTGCATGATGATACTGATGGTGTGGGATGTCTTGGCTTCCTTCAGCTGGCCCTGGAACTCCTGTAGTCCATCTACCAGTTCAGACAACTGCTCTCGCAGCTGGGTAAACACAGGAAAGTGTGAAGACATCAGAACAAGTGATTTCATAAACATGTACAGAGCACAAAAACATGGGAAAAGGCATGAAATTTTCACTGCCCTTGGTGCTGAAATGGGTATCAAAACCATGAGAACACCGTATACACAAGGAAACAGTGTAAAAACATGGCAAAATAGCATGGAATTTGCCCTCTCCTTGGTACTGAAATGGGTACCAAAACACGAGAACACCGTATAAACAAGGAAAGAGTGTAAGAACATGGCAAAATAGCATAGAATTTGCCCTCTCCTTGGTACTGAAATGGGTACCAAAACACGAGAACACCGTATACACAAGGAAAGAGTGTAAGAACATGGCCAAATAGAATGAAATTTGTACTGTCCTTGGTACTGAAATGGGTACAAAAACACGAGAACACTGAATACACAAGGAAAGAGTGTAAAAAATGACAAAATAGTATAGAATTTCTACTGTTCTTGGTGCTGTAATGGGTATCAAAAACATGAGAAAAAGCCGCTATATCAAGACGAAAAAAACATGGAAAAATGGAAAAAAGCATGAAAGTTGCCCTGTCCTTGGTGCTGAAATGAGTATCAAAGTAATTTGAGCTGCATGTACAATGACCAGTGGAGCATAGTCCTAAGAACTGCGACCTTTTCAGTAGCATGCATGTCAGGTGAGCAACAGCAGCCGAAATTTGAACTCCACCCCATGGTTCACTGGACTATGCATGTATCATCATCATCATCATCCACTGTGTTCTGCGTCTACAGTCGTGTGGACATGTCCTGTAGCCGCATTCAGTCTTTCTTCATCTCTTTCCACCGTGTCTTCTGCCTCGCGAGCTCTCTAAGCTCCTTGAGTTTCTTTTCTGTTGTGGGATGGCCTAGCCCTCTGCACTTCAGGTCTCCCTTCAGTAGGCTGAGTAGGTTGATGCAGTGTCTCCCGCTGCGAGCTTTATATCTCTTAGAGCTAAGGAATGAAAATTCCAGAGCTTTTTGTGCAGGTGTGTCTTGTGGCATTCTGAGAATATGTCCGAACAGAGACCACCTGAGTTTCTCAACTTTCACGGAGAGAGGTTCCGTATTACAGACTTTGTACAGCGTGTCATTGGTCACGTATGGTTATGCATGTATGCCTCATGAAAATTATTCTGTGTTGAGCTGAATTCTGCAATAGGATTTATATCTATATTGGTACAGTGTACAAATATTGTAAGTTGTCTAATGTTGTCTTGACTCACCTTTTCTATGTCTTTCAGTAGTTGGCACATCTTGATGCCCTGCTCCAGCCGTCTTCTGTGGTCATCCCATTCCTTTAACCACTGGATCCGTCTCATGTCCAGCATGGTTAGCGCCTGCTCTACTGTAACTCGAGCTGCGTCCACACCGTCCTGTAAACAACAAACAAACAAGTAAACAACAACAGGTAAACATGGCTTTAACCACTGGATCCGTCTCATATCCAGCATGGTTAGCGCCTGCTCTACTGTAACTCGAGCTGCGTCCACACCGTCCTGTAAACAACAAACAAACAAGTAAACAACAACAGGTAAACATGGCTTTAACCACTGGATCCGTCTCATATCCAGCATGGTTAGCGCCTGCTCTACTGTAACTCGAGCTGCGTCTACACCATCCTGTAAACAACAACAGGTAAACAACAACAGAAAAGCAACAAGCAAGTAAACGTCCTGCCAAAAGTGCAATGCACAATACATTACGGGTTTTGTCGAGGCACAGTACATGCTATCATAGAGTGGAACTCGTTGCCACCAAGCACAGTTGGGGCATCAATCACTAGAAAGCTTTAAACAACTGCTGCAATTGAATGTGCAAAGATTAAGTGTAACAGGTCGTTCAGTGTGATATAGCTAGCTGCCGCCGCGCCTGCGAAGCTGGTGTGTTTCACCGAAGGGTGGTTATACCGGCTATACCGATACAGATACAGATTCTGCCGACATGCTCTACCAATGATTGTCTACAGTCTAGATCTGTATTGCAATCCTCTCCAATAAAAATACGAGGGATTCTCACGTTTTCTCTGACCCTCAAGACAATCCTCTCCCCACTGTCCGTGGTGTGGTTGAAGACCTTGGAGACGTCTTTCTTCACAGCCTCATGCTGTCTCAAGAAGTCTTCAACCTGTAGGAATAAACAGCAAGGAAAGAGTCAAGGATGATTCCAAACTCTTTTCAGTACATGTACAATTATGTGTGAATGTGTGATAGTGAGTGCAAGGTACTGTCCTTGGTGCTGAAATGGGTATCAAAGGAAAATAATCCTTCCCTGTAGAAAAAAACAACAGTCAAAATGATCTTATACCGGTTAAGCATCAGTAACAGCACATTAGGCACAATATAGACTGAACTAAAAAAACTATAAAAAGGCCAGTGCCAAGTTTTTAAAATTGAAAAGTATTTTCCTTAATATATTCTTAGTTTTCCTTACCTGTTTGACATCTTGTGGAGATGTTTGCTTGAAGTCCTTGTCAGCCTTGTCAATAAGCATGTTCAACTGGAAAACACAGACAGTATATATAGGCAATCGTAAGTCTAGCAGTACAAAATATACACAATGTACATTTGTTTTCACACTTTACGAATGTCTCAGTTACCCTTTCTTGTCTCTAAAGTGTTCTTTTTTTCTTCTGTAAGTGTTTCCTATCTGTTGATGTACATGATGTTCAAGCACAGATACAGGTAGCATTGCAGATTTGGGTAGTTACATGTTCAAAACAATTATAATTCATATGTCATCAATAGCATCACATTTGCAATCTTTTATGTCATACAAAGTTTACAATTCC